GGGCGCCGAGTGGGGAGCCCAGCGCAACGCGCAGACCCCGCGCCCCCCAGGCCCGGGGTCCCGGGGAGCGCGGGCCTCCCTGAGTTCCGTGCCACCTGCGGGGCGCAGGGTCGGGGCGGGTGTCGGTGCAGGGGCCCAGGAGGTCCCGACATATGGCCGTGGGCGGTGAGTGAGGGGCACAGGTGGGCGGCACGGCCCCGCCGCCGGGTCCTAGTGTTGGGGATGGGGAGGCGAACCCTTGGTGAGGAAATCGGCTCCAGCCAGGTTTGGAATGAGGGCGGGAGGCTTGGGAGGCCCCGGGGGGGATCGTGGGGTGGCAATATTCCTGGTGGTTGAGTGTGTATGAGTGTGGTAGGTTGGGGCTGTTATGGGGGAATGGTGCAGAGGTGGATTCTGGTAAAAGAGGAGCGTAGGGGAGCTGGTGCGTGTGCAGGCAATTGTGTAGCGCCGTGGATGTGGGTGGGGTAGGGGAAGGATGCGTGGACCGGGTGTTTGGGGCAGGTGCGCAAGGGAAGTAAGTGATGGGGTGCTTGCGTGGAAAACCCGTGCTTATGTGTGCCAATAGGGGGTCTGATGCTGGGAGGATTAGGAGTGTGCAAGGGGTCATTTGGGAAGAGTGTGTAAGAAGGTTGGGGTCTCCAGAGGGGTATTTAATGGGAGCTGATGTTGTTCAGGGCAAGTATGCAAGGAGCCCTTTGGGAGATGAGTGCCTGGAGGTGGGGGTTGGGCTTGCCTGGTTGAGTGTGTAGCAGGGGACTTGGGTATTCAGGGTGCAGACTTGTAGGCACAGGGGATGTGTGGTTCATGGGGCAAGTAAGTGTGCAAAGCATGGTTTGGAATAAGTGCGCAACAGGTATGTGGTTTTTGCCCGAGGAGACAGAATCCCAGAACTGAGTATCTAGACCCCGCGAATTCTCTTTGCAACTTGGCCCAGCTTTTATTCTGTGGGCCTCAGTTTCAGTCTCTGTCAAACGAGTCTGAGGGTCAATGAACTAACTAGTGTCTGCCAGGAATCTCTCCAGAGTCAGGAGTCAGGGGAAAGATGGTGAGACTTTTTCAACTTGTCTTTTTGCTTTCCTCTACCTCCAGAAAACCCCTCCGGGAGCCTCTCCCCAACCATGGACAGCCCCAGTCTTCGAGAGCTCCAACAGCCTCTGCTGGTGGGCGTGGGCTGTGGGCCCCCCATCCAGAAGCCTGGGGAACCCCAGCTGGGGCCTCCCTTTCGAGAGACAGAGTCCCTGGGGGGTTGGCAGTTCCTACCACTGCCTCTTCCCTCTGTGAGCGCTGGTCTTGGGGAGCCAGGGCCCCCTGACCTGGAGGTAGGAACAGCAGGCCTTAGTGGGAGCTGGGGGAGGGGGCTTGGAGGCGAACAAACTGGGCTGTGGCCAACCCCGGGTAGGTCGGAGGCTGGGGTATCTGCCTTCAGCCTGGAGTCTCACTTCGCAACTGTGTGGGGACTTCCTAGATGTCCAGTTGTGGTTTTGCCTGTTTTATGCCTCCCCTGGTTTCACCTTTTTCTCTCCAGATTTGTCCCTCATCTTTCTTCCCGCACCTTTGGCTCTCTGTCTTCCCTCTGATTTCTGACTCCCCTGTTCTCTGTCTTTCCACCTCTCTCTCTCTCTCTCTCTCGGTCCTGGTCTCTTTCTTTCAAATTAATGTGTTAATTTGTACAATTTCTTATTCCTTGTATATACTGTGAAGCTTGTCTTCTACTTATTGATTTATTTTTTTTATTTTTTTAAAGATTTTATTTATTTATTTGAGAGAGAGGATGAGAGGAGAGAGAGAGCACATGAGAGGGGGGAGGGTCAGAGGGAGAAGCAGACTCCCTGCCGAGCAGGGAGCCCGATGCGGGACTCGATCCAGGGACTCCAGGATCATGACCTGAGCTGAAGGCAGTCGCTTAACCAACTGAGCCACCCAGGCGCCCCTATTGATTTATTTTTAAAAAAGATTTTGAGTAATCTCTACACCCAGCTTGGGGCTCGAACTCACGACCCCGAGATCAAGAGTTGCACACTCTACCGACTGAGCCGGCCAGACTCCCCGCTTGTCTTTTATTATCTTAACACATGGTTTTCCAGTTACTATTCCTGCATAAGAAATCACCCCGAAACTCGGTTGCTTAAAACAGCAACAATCATTATGGCTCATGGTTTCCACAGGTCAGGAATTTGGGAGGGCCTGGGTTGGGTGGTTCTGCCTCAGGGTCTTCCATGAGGTTGCGGTCAGCCAGTGGCTGGAGCTGAAACGGTCGGGGGCTGAAGGAGCTGGGCGCTGGGTGGGTATCTCTTAATGTAGTCTTGGGGCTTCTGCCTGAGGCTCCCCTTGTGGGGTGGTTTGGGCCTCCTCACAACATGGCGGCTTCAGCATGGTCCACATCCTCCTGTGCCCCCAGCCCCCAGCCCGAGTGCTTCTGCAAGGCAGAAACTGCCTCACCTTTTCTGACTTATGCTTGGAAGTCATGTGGCATCCTTTCCACCACATTCTACCAATTATGAGTGAGTCACAGCCTGCCCAGACCCAAGGAGAGCGGACACAGACCTCACCCCTTGGTGGGAAGAGTATCAGTCACACTATAAGAAGAGCATGTGGGATGAGAGCTGGTTGTGGCCGTTTTTGGAAACACCGTCTGCCACAGTGAGGCGGTTGGGGTCACCTTGACATCTCGTTATGTGTCTGGTAATTCCATTCTTTGAAGATTTTGAGGGAGGGCCTTATTATTTCTGCTATTTAGGGTTTCTTGTGTGCCTGGTTATCTTTGGACTGTATGCTGGTCATCAGGGTTCAAAAACTATCTTTAGGAAAAATTATTTTGAGGCCTAGACTGAAGGTCAGTACCTTTCTCCAGAGAGGAGTTGGTCTGCTTCTGCCAGCTAGCTGCCTGGGGGCGCCACGGTGGTTAGAGATCACTTTTCATCTAGTTCACGGTTGGATTGAGAGGCTATTTTTTCTGGGATTGACAATTGGCTGCAGGGCCAAAAGAGGCCTTCTCTGTTTGTTTGCCCTCTCTAACTTGGATTTTTTTTTTCCCCCAAAGATTTTATTTATTTGACAGAGAGAGACACAGTGAGAGAGGGAACACAAGCAGGGGGAATGGGAGAGGGAGAAGCAGGCTTCCCACTGAGCAGGGCTCGATCCCAGGACCCTGGGATCCTGACCTGACCCGAAGGCAGACGCTTAATGACTGAGCCACCCAGGCGCCCCCTAACTTGGATTTTAATTGCAGTTTTGGCCTTACAAGAATTGCTTAAAATCATGTGCGCTATTTAATGCAAGATTTAAAAAAAGCAAACTTTTTTAAATCTAGAATTTATAGTTTTCAGCTGGCAGGTTTGTCCTAGTAACTTAGACCACCAGAGCTGTCTATCTCCAACTTTTTGCTGGTTCCTGTCCCCATTGGTGTCTGCCTCCAGTTTTTTTTTTTTAAGATTTTATTTATTTATTTGACAGAGAGATAGAGAGAGAGCACAAGTAGGCAGAGAGGCAGGCAGAGGGAGAGGGAGAAGCGGACTCTCCACTGAGCAGGGAGCCCGACGTGGGGCTCGATCCCAGGACCCTGGGATCATGACCTGAGCCGAAGGCAGCTGCTTAACCGACTGAGCCACCCAGGCGCCCCTCTGCCTCCAGTTTTAACTCTGAAATTGTGGTATCCATGGTGGGACCTTGTGAAGTCTTTGACATTGAACATAAAGCTTTGGCTGTGGATGGGGGTTCTTCTTTGGAGAGAGGTTACCCAGCTTCCCCTCAAGGGGATCCAGGCTGGAGAGAGTTAAGAGCCTACTTCTGGATCATTTTCCTCTTTTTGGTGTTTCTGGGGAAGGCCCTGGTATTGGTCTTTGGGGGCTACGGGGAGCAGAGCAGTGGGGCAGGGAAGGTGGGCAGAGAAGCCCACTCAGGCCCTTTCCTACCCACAGGATGCATCATCCAGTGACAGCGACTCGGACTGGGACGGGGGCAGCCTTCTCTCCCCGCTCCTACCCCACGACCACCTCGGCTTGGCTGTCTTTTCCATGTTATGCTGTTTCTGGCCTGTGGGCATCGCTGCCTTCTGCCTGGCCCAGAAGGTCAGTCTGTGGGTGGGGCCGGGAGGGGGCTGGATAGAAGAGAAAAGGTGCATTCAGAACAAAACAGAGGTGCTATGCGTGGGGGGCGGGGGAGGGAGAACAAAGGTGGAGAGAAGGATCGGCATAGAAACATGGAAAGGTAAAACGAGGGTCTCAGAGTGAAAGCCCAGAGCGGTGGTTAGGAACCTGAGCTCAAATCCTAGGTCTGACACACCCCGTTAGGATTTTTGGGCCAGCCACTTCAACCTCCCTGTGCCTCCTTGTCCTCAACTGTGAAATGGGAATAATTCCTCCCTCTGGGTCATTGTGAAGCTCAAATGAGTTAGAACGGTGGCACCGAGTAATAGAGGTCTGTTCTTACTGACCACCCCGGGCTCCCCTGTGCCCAGCTGTGCCTGACCCGCAGTAGCTGCTCCCTGGTTTTGGAATCTATGAATGAGCCCGTGGGTGTGCCGGTGTGGGCGGGTGCAGGGGAAGGGTCTGGGGCTGCGGGCAGCGGGGTGGGATGAGGGGATGCCTGAGTCACCCTGCCCAACGCCTCCACAGACCAACAAGGCTTGGGCCAAGGGGGACGTCCAGGGGGCAGGGGCTGCCTCCCGCCGCGCCTTCCTGCTGGGGGTCCTCGCCGTCGGGCTGGGCGTGTGCACATATGCGGCCGCCCTGGTGACCCTGGCCGCCTACCTGGCCTCCCGAGAGCCGCCCTAGTTGCCCCTGCGGCCCCCACTGTGAATCAGGGGCCGGGACCCTGGCGCGTCGTCAGGCAACGTGGAGAATCCGGGTGGATGAGGCGGCGGCAGCCGCAAGCCCCTCCTTCCTGGCCGCCACAGCGTGAGATTAAACTCCACTCTTGCAGCCAAACCTGTGTGTGTGTGTGTGTGTGTGTGTGTGCGTGTTGGGGGGCGGGGGGAGGAAGGAGGGAGCTCGGGGCACTGAGACCAGGTCAGGGTGACGACAGGCTGTCCCCAGAGACCTTGGAGCTGGAGAAGGGGGAATCCGAGGGGCAGAGGGTTCCCAATTGCAGAATATTCTCCTCGAAGTACCGTGGTCTGTAGAGAATTAGGGAGAGCTGGGTTCCAAGGGCTTCTCCTTAGCTGTGCCACCTTGGCCCGAGTGACTTCTTTTTGAGCCTCACATTTTCCCTTCTGCAAAATGGGACTTTCTCCACCCCTGGGAGCTCTGGGGAGGACCGAATGGGTCACACCTGTAGAGGGCAGTATCCCTCTGAGCTCTTCCCACAGCAAGTGGCAGAAACTGGACTTGGGGGCTCAAATGAAATGAACAGTCTGGTCTCTCCATCTCTTGGCCCTCCTTTCCCGTTGGCCTCATTCTGTGCAGGCTTCTGGGGGAGAAAGATGGCCCCAGGAGCTGAGGCACCCCATGGGAATGACACGGCCAGAGACCAGGAGGGCTGGAACCTTAAGGCACTAGGGCACTAGTCCCCCCCGCCCTGGCAGACGGACCCCCAAGTGCTCCCCAGAGGCACAGGCATGCTCACTGAGTGGGCCTGAGAGATGACCAAGTAATGGTATGACGGGTGGTTTAGTTCTCTGTTTAATGCCATTCCAGTGGATCTTACTAGAAGAAAACACTTTCCCGTTTGGAGTTCTCCCGTCTCACGGCACAGAATTTCAAGCTAAAGACTTTGATGCTTCTCCTTCCCGGTTACTGGGGACGAAAATGACACAGGCTCTAAGGGGGCAATTGTGGGAACTGCGTGAACTAGTTCAAGCATGTGAAGCACGCAGCAGAGGGCCCGCCAGACATATAATTTTCACTGCAAACCCCCAAATGTCAATGCCCCACAGAATCTGGTGACCATGTGGCCCAGCTGTGGGACGGTAACTCCTCGAGGGATGCTCTCATGTTCTTAGCTCCTGCCCGCTAAATACGGGGGCGAGGGACCGAGCGGTCAAATGGCAACTAACCACCCCCCATATTTCCATACACCCTGGGGGGGGGTGCTCCCACGCCACGAGAAACATGGGCCCCAGTCACTTCCGGTTACAGATGGGGAACTGCAGTCAGGACTGTGCTGGTGTCTCCCCAGCCTTTCTGAGCAGTGACAGGCTCTGGGGCTGGACTCGGACTCGCTGGTGACATCTGGCAGCTCACTGGCTGCCGAGCCCGTTTCTTCAGGCTAAGACCGGGATGCTAAGACCCGCAGGGCCTCACCACCGTGCCCGTTCCCTCCCCGACCCATCTGGCTCTGCTCCAGCCACCACCAGAGCCACACGGAAGCCTTGCTGGTGCCCCACCTCCCGGAGGCCTCCTCCCGGGCTTCCCTCGGATGCACCCCCCCACCCCACCCCCCGCAGATGTCCCTCACTAACGTATTAAATTCGCCCTCCCCAAACCCCCTCCCTGCTCTTCGCTTTCTTCATGGCATTTACCACCACCTGACAAACGCTGATTTTCTTTGCTCCTCACCCTGCTGCTCCTTGAACCTGGGACCTGGAGGGGGGGTCATTCTTTACCCCGGGTGCCCCACAGGTATCGGTCAGACTGGCGGGTGGAGAAGGGGGGTTTCCCAGTCGGAAAGGCTTTCGGGGGGGGCAAGGTGGGTCCGTGCCCCCAGGCCCACAAGCTCATCCGGGTGCACAGGGACTGAGAGGCGAGGCCAGCTGCTGGTTTATTTTCCGCGGAGGTAGTGGGGGGCGGCGGCAGCCGCGGGAGGGGCACCCTGCCCCGGCTTGTCTCAGCTCTTGGAGTAACGCCTCTGCAGCGATTCCCGGTAGAAGCGGAAGACGTGTTGCGAGGCAGCCTGGGCCGTGGCCAGGCACTGCTGGAGCTGGAGGCGGAGAGAGAGCTGGTGGTGCTGGGGCCTCCCTGCTCCCGCCCGGCTGACCCCACAGCCTGCCCCGACCCCGGCTGGTTCCTGGAGCTCCCAGGCCTCCTGCCTCCCCTGAAGTAGGGCAGGTGGCCAGGGGAGTATTTCAAAGGCCTTTCTTTCTTCCCCACTTGGTGGGCTCTTTCTTAGATAGGGAACAGAGAAAAAGGGGAGGGCTTCGGGGGTCTGATTCCGGCAGCTCCAGGAGTGTGGACAGGTGGGAGCAGGCATCCTGACCCCTGGAAGAGGCCTCATGAACCTGGCCCATCTCCAACTGGAGATCTAGAATTTCTGAGCCACAGGCCCTGTGATGCCAGATCATCTTGGAAGCCGTGGAATCTGGGACCCCAGCTCCTGAGCACCACACATTCCTAGGCTCATAGGAGGAACGGGTCGGAAGTGCTCTCGGAGACCAGAGCACTGGGATTCTGGGAGCGCACCGCTCTGAGCTGGAGGTGCCTCACGTCCTGATCCCAACCTGAGCTCTCTCCCCTCTGCTCTCATGACTGTGGCTTCCCTTTAAAATTCCCACAAGGGCTGGGCGCCTGGGTGGCTCAGTTGGTTAAGCGACTGCCTCCGGCTCAGGTCATGATCCTGGAGTCCCGGGATCGAGTCCCTCCTTAAGCAGGGAGTCTGCTTCTCCCTCTG